CGAGGGGGAGGAGAAGTCCGGCGCGGGCCGCGGCTCCGCCGAGTCCCGGTGCCTGCAGCGCGGCCGCCTCGGCGCTCGCTGCAGCGGCCGCAGCCGCGCGGGGAAGGAGCCGGGGCCGCCGTCCCGCRGGGAGCTGCCGGTGAAGGGCGCGGGGTCCGGGCGCGGGGGAGCCGGCGGGGTAACGGGGAGGGCCGGTTATTCACGGCTCTGGTATGCGCCGAAGCGGCCGCCGGGGCTTGCGCCGCCCCGGCGCCCGCGGCGGGGAGGGAACCCGGCCCCACGGAGCTCCCCGGTACCGAGGGGAGCAGCYCGGGAGTGCGGGAGGCGGGCGGGAGGTCCGGGACCGGGAAGGCCGGGGATGGGCCTCGAGGCTTTGAAAACCGCCCTCTTGCTCTCGCTGCGGGGCTCCTCCAGCGCCAGGAGCGCTTTGGGTTCCTCCCCCAGCCCCTGAACCCCACGCGGGTCTCGTCTCGCCTCGCGGGGCCCACAGGAGCAGGATGGGGCCCTCCGCATCCCACCCCCGGGCAGCTTTTGCAACTGCAGCTCTGCATCCCCCCCCTCACCCCCGCTACCTCCCCCGGGCAGGGCTTGGCATCCAGGGCCTTCCCTGCCACCGAAATCTGCCCCCTCCTGCTCCAAATGACAGGGCCGGGGAAGGGAAGAGGCGGCAAAACTTGAGACAAAGACAAAGGGGTCGCGCTGCCAGCGCGGGGCTCGCTCAGCGCCGCGCCATGGGACGCAGCCACCATACAGCCTGCAGACACGGTGCCCGCGGCGAGGGGCACGCAGGGGCACGGCCCCCGCAGGGCAGGGAGGAGTTAGCGCAGAGCTGGAGCCAGAAACCTTTAGCCCTAAAGGGACCCCAGTCTCTCTTGCTGAGAGAAAAAAAAAAAAAAAAAGGCCTTTTTAGGGTGTTTTTTTTTTTTTTTTTTTTTTTTTTTTTTTTTTTTGTGTGTGTGTGTGTGTGTGTTTTTCTTTTTTTTCCATGGAAAAATGGGAGCTGCTGGTTTGATTTGAGGTTTGAAAATGTGTTGAAAAGCCTGAAAGGGTGAGAGCTGGGGGAAGGAGAACGGAGGCTGCTCCGGAGAGTGTTCTGATGCTCTGTCTGGATGGATTTTAGTTAGAAAGGGTATGAACGGTGAAGCAGGAGTTCAGGCAGAGAGAACCCTCTCCCTCTTGAACCTGGAGTGGGGTGGCCTCCAGGAGCAGGATGTTTACCTGGGGAAATGTCCCACGTTGGGGACATTTCTGCAATGAAGCGACTTTTTCTAGTGGGGAAAAGAAACATTTTAGTGGGAAGTTTTTTGGCCAGCTCTTCTCACGGAGGTATGTGAAGGCTTAGACCGTTGTGTGGAAATGCCTTGCTCAGATTAAGGAATATTTTAAATAGCCCTCTTACCACACCAGCTGAATTTCTGTGGATAAGCACATGGACGCTTCGGCCCTTTGCTGTTTCCTGTTATTGCTTGGCAAGGAGAAGCAAATCCCCGACTCGGCTGGCCCCGCAGCCGCGTCCCGTTCATTGCCCTCCGTGCCTCTGTTTGCAGGCGCAAGGATGACTCCGCTGCTCTGCTGCGTGGGCCTCGCTGCCCTGCTGGCCTCCAGCCTGGCCTGCCCCCGGAGCTGCGTGTGCTCCGTCAAGAAGAACGGGCGCCTCTTGGCCGAATGCGCCTACAGGGAGCTGCAGGAGGTGCCCGCGGGGCTCTCGCCCAACGTGACCATCCTCACCCTGTCGGCCAACAGGATCGGCTCGCTCCGGGAGACGTCCTTCTCCGAGGTGCCCGACGTGCAGTCGCTGTGGCTGGGCTACAACCAGATCAGCACCGTTGAGGCGGGCGCCTTCGCGCGCCTGGTGCATTTGAAGAACCTGGACCTCAGCCACAACAAGATGGTGGATTTCCCCTGGAAGGACCTTCGCAACCTCAGCGGCCTGCAGATCCTCAAGATGAACAACAACCGCCTGGCCGGGCTGCCGCGGGGGGCCTTCCACTCGCTGAAGGAGCTGCGCTCGCTGTGGCTCAACGACAACGAGCTCACCACCCTGGCTGAGGGCACTTTCGACCTCCTGCCCTCCTTGTCCCAGCTGCAGATCTTCAACAATCCCTTCAACTGCTCCTGCAAGGTCTTCTGGTTGAAGAAGTGGACGGAGAACACCTCCGTCTCCATCGCCAAAGGGGGCTCCATCCTGTGCGCGGCTCCCAGCAGGCTCAAAGGGAGGGCCGTGACCGACATCCCCGACCACTTCTGCGTCGCCCCGTCGGTGCAGCTCACCTACCTCTCCAACCTGGACAACACCGTCATGTATGATGGCCTCACGCTCACGCTGCACTGCAGCGTGGCTGGCAGCCCCTTGCCGGAGATCAGGTGGAAGATCCAGACGTCCAGCCGCAGCACCGAGATCAGCGGGCCCAACGTGGCGCGGGACAGGAACGTCCTGCTCCTGCGGCGTGCCAAGCAGAGCCAAGAGCGCTTCCTCATCTTCAAGAACGGCACCATGGCCATCCCCAACTTCAGCAAGGAAGACGAGGGCATCTACACGTGCCTCGCCGTCAACGATGTGGGCACGCGGGAGGTCTCGGTCAACGTGGCCTTGGCTGGCTCGGAGAACCCAGCCGATGACCTGCTCCGAAACGCCCCCCAGGCCAGTCACCTGGGCGGCCGGAGCTGCTACAAGGGAGACGACTTGGATCCCTCCGGTGCCGGAGAGAAGCTGGTGATTGTTTACCACGCGCCGAGGGAGTCCAAGAGCCGGGCCGGAGCGGTGCCCCAAACGTGCCTGGGGACCCTCCTGCTGACTTTGGGCCTCGCTCTGTGTCGCTGAGGAGAGGAGTAGGAAGCAGCGCCCCGGGGCCGCCCTCTCCTTCTGCATCCTCTATCTTCACATAGTGCCATGCGTTTGCTGAGCTTCTGGGAAGCACAGGAGGCCCGGAGGCAAACGGGATGGAGCCCCGAGCTCGGGGCTGTTGTTTTGAGCCTTCGTTAGGCGTCAGTCGGGGCTGGGCTCGCTGGGAAGCTCTTGTCCCCCCGCCGCACGCAGGGGAAGCGGGGAGCGGAGCCCAGCTGGGAGCCAGATGGCCAGCCACCTGCTCGCTTCRCTAGCCACGCGCTTGCCGCCCTGCTACCAGCCCTGTGCAGAGCACGACGAGCACAAGAGCCCGGCTGAGGCTGGGGAAGCAGCCCCGGTGCGGGGCCCGGGGGCGGCGGGCTTGTGGCTCCGGGTGCCCGTCGGTGCTGCGCACACCGGGGAGCAGCAAGTGCCTGTTGCACCCGGCCACGGGCACGGAGCGGGCTCCTCTTGCGGAGCGGCGGGAGCTTTTCCACTGCTTTCATCCCTGCAGGAGTCCAAGCGGCTCCTGCTGGCTGGATCCTTGGAGCATCCAGCGCGTCCGCACCCTTGCTGGGCTGGAGCCCGCAGGGTCGAGCAGCCCCATCGCACTGCAGCCACAAGTCCCTGTCGCACTTCAGCATCCTGCACAGGATGGATATGCTGTGCATCCCGGGGGGAAGTTCCGAGCTTCTCCATTGCCAGCCCTGCTCTCCCAAAGGGAAGGGCTCTGGATCCCCTGTATCCTGCAGGATGGATCTGCAGAGATTGCAGCCGCCAGCACCGCCTTGTAGCCAAAGCCACGCGCCGCAGCCATGCACCAAGCACAATAAATACCCTTTTTAAACAATCCGGTGCAAGCTGCCTCTCTGCTGTCCTGTCCTCCCAGACCTCCTTAGCCTGGGGGACGGGTCTCACCCCCGCAATTTGCTCGGCCGTGAGGCACCCAGGGGGAAGGGAGGCAGCCCYGGCCCTTCCTCCTAGGAGAGGCTTTGATGCAAGCGGGCGGCTACATATTTTTCCCATTACAGGCAGAAAGTGTGAAAAAAACAAACCCAGACACGAACGCTGGGAGATGCACGACCCGGACAGAGCCAGCCTCGGGCAGCAGCCGTCCCGCGGCCGCACCGAGGATGCTCGCAAAGGGTCAGCGAGACCCCGGCATGGCTGAGAGCAGCTGATGGGGCAGAGGAAACGCGGGGAGAAGGAGCCACCTCCCGCTGTCCCCCGCAGGGCTCTCGTCCCCAGCCTCGGTCCAGCCCGGCGCCCGCCCAGACGGTGCAGGGAAGGTCGCGCCGCTGCGTCAACAGATGCAGAAATCCAGCTCCACCCCGGTGCGGAGCTGCGGGACGTTTCGGGCACTGCCGAGGCCTCCTCCAAAGTGCCGGAGCCTCGAGGGCCGGCGAGGGGCAGAGAGGCAGATACTTGTGCTGAAGGATGGGCTGCAAGCAGCCCAGCAGAGCAAGCGACCCCTGGGACTGCCCCAGGGACCCCCATCCCGCTCATCCCCACGATCAGGCATCCCCGGGGAAGGACCCAGAGAGTCTTGTGGGGTAGGAATGAGGTATATTATTTATTATTTACTATTCTCCTCCAGCTTGGTACACCCAAGGAAGGGCTAAAGTCTGTTCTACTGCTTCTAACTCGCTCGGAGGCTTCCTGCTCTGGGGGAGCCTCTCATTTTAAGCAACACAATGGGGTGCTATAAGCGACATGGGGAGCTGAGGGGAGAAAACATCCTGGTTTAGGGCAGATTAGACAGCAAATGTTATGGGGAGAGAGAAACCGAGGGCTYTGCAGCCTCGCAGCACAGAGCAGAGCAGGCGGAGGGCTCGGCAYGGTGCCCAAGCAGAGCCCGGAGGGGAAAGCCGGGAACAAGAGCAAGCTCCTCGTGCTTGGTTTGGTTGGGGATCCCTCCATGTCCAGAAAAACACACGCACCCCCYGCCTCCCTCTTTCCTTGCCGCCCTTCCCGAACCCGGAACGGGGCCCRGGTGGCCCATCTGCCTGGGCTACGCGGCCACCCCAGCGCCGGCAGTGGCTCAGCGCGGATGGGGGCTGGACGYCGGGGCAGGGGCTGAGGAGGTGCCCGGGGTTCCCACCGGCACCGAGGGGGAGCCGGTGGGTGCAGGGAGGGGACAGGAGCACACGCAGGGGGCAGGGGTGCGTCGCGGGGCTCAGGGCGGGCTCAGCTGGGTGCCGTTGGGCGCGGGGTCGAGCAGGGCGGCTTTGCGGCACGCGGCCAGCGCCGGGTTGTGCAGCAGCGTGTAGGCCAGCGCCCAGCGCGCCCGGCTCTGCCGCCAGCGTGCTCCGCTCGCCGGCGTCTTCGCCGTCTGCATCAGCTGGATGCCTGGCAGGGCAAGGGGACAAGGGCGTCTCAGTGTCCTGTCCTGCCAAGCGGGACCATTCGGCCCACTGAAGAATGGGGCAGGGGCCACGGCAGCTTGGAAGTGGCACCAACACACCRATGCCTCGGTGCTGGCACCACGGGAGCACACGGGCACTTACCCTCTTCCACACTGGAGGGGCTGAGCCCCCGGYGGCCCTGGGCCCTCGCTGGCTGCAGCAGCAGCGAGCAGAACGCCTGCATCACCGGGTGCGACTGGCTGACCTCGATTTTCAGATAGTGGCAGTAAGCGCGGTAGCCTGCGGGAACGCGGCGCACGGGAGCGCATGGAGCGGGGTCAGCATCGCCCCGGAGCGGGGACCGCACGGGCCCTGTCCCACTTAATGCTCCCCCGCGCTCCCTCCGCCCCCTCTCCCTGCAGGGAGCCCCGCTCCGCTTCCAGAGGCTGGAGGCAGGAGCAGGGGAAGGGCTGAGCTGCCTCCCGCAAGGACCTGCTGCCCTCCAGCGTGGCAGCAGGTCCTGTCCATCCACAAGGTGCTGAGCGTGCAGGATGCCCAGGGAGGGKACCGGGGATGACAGCAGGACCATCGCTCTTGGAGATGGGGGTCACCCACCCTCAGGGATAGATGGAAAAACGGGAATGAGTGGGCATGAGGAAGCCCCATCTGCTCCCATTGCCCCAGCCCCTTCCAAGCTCAAGGGCTCAAAGTGCCCCTTGCTCATGGAGCTACAGCACCCGGAGATGCAGACACTCATGGGAGCTCGGTGGCAGGAGGAGGACCTCAGTGGGGCACCCCACATGCTGGCCACAGGTTCGGGGCTGGGGTCCAGCCCCTACCTGGGTCGAAGGTTTCCACGCCGCGGTTCAGGAGGCTGATGTCCAGCTGGCAGAAGTGGATGGCGTTGTACAGGGCAGAGATGATCATCCTCCAGAGCCCGGCCAGGACGCCCACGAGCACATTGATGGGGAAGAGCAAGAAGGTGACAATGTAGAGGGCTCGTCTGTGGATAGAAGAGGAGGAGGATGGAGGGGACAGAGATCTTGCTTGCTCCAGCCCCAGAGCAAGAGCAAGGCTACATATGGACCACGGCCTTACCCACAGCCACCAAAGAATCATCTCTGGGAGCAAAGCCCCTAACAAACCCAAACCTGGTTTGGGTTGCAGGCTGTCTCCTGTCCCCATCCCACAAACCAGACACTGCAAAGAGCAAGACAAAACATCTGAGCTACACATTAACCCCCTTGCAGGGTTCCCTGGGCATCAGGAGGGGACTCTGATGTCCCTCTGCTTCCCAGAAGGCCTCCACATGCCCGTACCTGTTGGTCAGCTCTTTCCGCAGGGGATGCTGCTCCAGGAATTGGTAGTGAGCTGCCAGATTTTGCGCAATCACAGCGATGATGAGGGTCAGCCAAAAGGGCCTGGCCAGGAGGGAAGAGGCGGGTTGGAAACCAAAAAGTTCCCAGGCAGGAAACACCAACCAGGTGCCAGCAGCCTCCAACAAGAGACTTCAACAGCTTTCCTTAACAGAGAAGCCCCAAACTTGTCAGAGGGGCAGGTCACACTATGGCCTGTTCATGGACAGGAGATGTTCCCGGGGCTCCTGCACCAGGCGAGGTGCCTACAGAAGGTCTCCAGCTCCTCCTGCCTCTCCTCTGAGAACAGATGGACACTCACCACATGTTCTGAAGGACCTTGAAGAGGTACATGTTTGTGCCCGACTGGAGCGGGATGACAAAGAAGAAGGTGAAAGCCACCAGGCAGATGAAGAAAATCACTTGCTGGATGAGGAGACCTTTGAGGGAGACACAGAGGGGAGGTCATCGTGCAGGAAGGCAAGGAGAAGCGGAAGAAATCATCACGTTTCAGACCAAAAAGGAGGCCAGAGTTACAGTTCTTCCTCCTTCTGAAGGTGACTGAAGATGGCAAATCTTGATGCATTTTCAGCAGGATTTGGCCACACAGTCACTTGTCAGCTGAGCTACCTGTTCGCTTGGTGTCCCCAAGCAGCCTTGCAAAAGGACAAGAGTCACCTCCCCACCTCGTTCTTATTCCCTAAATCCATGTTCGCTTTCCAGCATGCCTTTCATTGTAATCCCATGAAAAGCCTGCAAGATCCTTACCTACCTCCCCGCTGCACGCCTAATTCTTTGCAAGCAGTTTAATTAGGAGCTCAGCCTTTCTTATCACGCACTGCATTAGCCCTACAGAGAAGAGCCATCTCTGGGGGCCGCAGCTCCGWTTTCCCATCATAAAAATCATCCCAAGCCACGATTCCTAATCATAAATCAACACGGAGACCGGCGGCGGCTGCAGTTCATTTGGCCGGCTCTGCGACGGGAGCCGTCGGAGGCCGGGCAGCGCACGGCTCGTTCATTCAGCTCAAGTGCTTTGCRGTAATGACTTGAAAAATAGAGTTCGAAACGGGAGTGGGATTCGCGGCATCTGGCTGCCAGCCCCTCCGTGTGCGACGGACCCGGCTTTGGCAGGGAAAGCCCAAATACAGGGTGGCAGAAAGGAAAAAAYCCAACCTGCTCCTCGCTGGCAAAGGCAGGCGAGGAGCTGCCAGCGGCGCCTGCTCTCACACCCTGCAAAATAGGGCCCTTGTGCAGAGCTGGTGGCCTCGGCTCTCTGCGGTCTCCTCGCTGAACCCCTCAGCTTGACACTGCTGTGGAGGCGAGAGCACAATGCCCCTTGGTGGCCTTGGAGAGCTGAGGCGGTCCAGAACGGCACGTAAATCACAGCACATGCTGCTCAGAGGGATGTCCCTATGATCCTTGCACCACTGGGTGGGAAAACATGGAGGGGATTCAAATCCCTCTAATTTCTTGTGGCCCTGCGTGAGCAGACCACCCCTTTCTGGAGCCAGGGACCAGGCTTGGGGGACACACCATGTGTGCAGCAAGGGACACCCCACACATCCTGCCTGAGCCCGCAGGAGACAGACAGGCCGCAAGATGCTGTGACAGCTTCTCACATCAAAATAATTGGGCTGGAGCCAAAATGACTTTTTTWTTATTATTATTATTCCTTTCTCTCCCAACCATTTGGTGCTCGCCGTGGTTTTCCCCGAGGGAGACCAGGCTGCGCTTGGGAGAAAGGAACAAAAGCCGCCCTGAGCTCTCCCTTCTTGCCTGCCGCTGATGCCACCCACACCAGTTGTCCCAGTGCGGGGACCTCTGTTCTCCCCCAAGGACARGAGCGGAATAAGGACCACAAAATGGGGCAGAAAGGGGCCTGAGGCCACCCGTACACCTACCCAAGCAGGCAAAGGCAGTCTGGAAGCCAGCAAAGCTCATCCAGCAGACGACGGCGTGCCGGGACGGGCGCAGGATGTGGGCTTTGTAGAAGACGTCCAGCACGGCCCCTTGGTACAGAGCCCGCAGGTTGTTCCTGTGGAAAGGGAGGGCGGCTGCGGCCGGGCTCCGTGCCGGTGGCGTGGGGCTGGGAAGCAGGAGTGGGAAGCGGGAGGGATGCCCGGCTCGGGCGGCGGAGCAGGGACATGGGCTCCCTACCTGTGCATCACCAGCGTCCTCATCAGCATGGCCAGCGTCAGCAGGCAGCAGAGCACCAGCGAGCAGATGTAACACGCTGCGCGTGGGGAGAGGGCTGGCGTCGGCACGGGGTGGCTTGTGTGTGTCCATGACACACGTGCATGGACATATCCAGCGACGGAGCTGCGCCATGCCTCAGTTTCCCTTCCTACCCCTCAGCAATACGGGCAAACCCGTCCCCATCCCGAGCAGAGCTCGCGATTATCCCAGCGCCCCGCGCGGCTCCGTGCGGGGCTCGGGAGACGAGGGGCCATCTGCTCAATTCCTGCACATATCAAAGCTGTCCCCAATGGTGGCAGCTGTGGCCCCGGCTCCTGGCACGGGGACGTCGCTTGCCGGTGCCTGGCGCGTGTCCAGCCTCGCGCGCTCGCCTTGCAAGTCCTCACAGGCCAGCCTGGCATGGAAGCAGATGGATTTTAACTCCCTGGCCTTCCAATGCAGCCTGCGAGGGGTTGGGAAGTGCATCCCGATGGGTCCAGCTGGGAGAAAGTCRGCTGGCCCAGGCTGTATGTATGAGTGGGGAAACTGAGGCATGACRGGGTCATAGGGCTTGCAAAGAGCATTCCCATTGGGCCACCAAAATATAGAGGATGCCTTGAGCTGAGCAACACAGCAGGCCCCCTGTTATTTGGGAAAGGGGATGGAAAGAGAGTTGCAGCTCCGGAGGGGAGCAAGCAGGGCCACCCACCTTCCAGCGACCACAGGTAGTGCTTGACGGTGCCGAGCTCYGTCTCCATGTCACCGGGGATGCCGCCGGGGTTCTCCGAGGGCACGAGGCCGAACTGGACCAGCAGCACCACCACGTCCTTGGTCATGCCCGCGCGCACGATCTGCAGCGTGGGCACCACGGCCACCAGGAGCAGCAGGGCGACCTGCGAGGGATCCCGAGTGAGCGGCGCCTGGGGACGGGGACAGCGACGTGCAGGGATGCCGCTCCGGAGCAGTGACAGTCACCTGGTACACTGCGATCACGGCCGTGGTCAGCGACAGGACGAGCTTCAGCGGGATGCGGAAACCTGCGGGCACACACGTGGGCTCGTGCATCCCCCTCAGGATTTACAGCCCCCAGTCCCGGTTGCGCTTCCCGATTGCTCCCATCGCCACAGGCTCGTCCCTGTGCTGATGGGCTCCGTGTCCCATGGGGAGCGCGGGATGGGAGGATGCACGTGCCCCGGCCGTGCCCGCTGCCCACCTTGCTGCGGAGTGTAGATGTAGGAGCGCAGATACGCGCGCACCCTCRACCAGCAGCTCTCGTCCAGCTTGCAGGAGCTGCGGGGGAACAGAGAGGGTGAAAAGCACGTCCGGGACACAGCGGGGACACAATACACAGGGGACCATCTGTCCCCACTGCAGACAGCATGGGCAGCATGGGCACATGGTGCAAACTAGGGGTGAAAATGCTGCATTCTAGGGCAAYTTTGGTTCCCCGTCTCCCTTCCAGGCATTCAGCGGGAAGGTGCTGTCCTTACCTGCCCTTCCTGGACTGTTTGGACAGCAGAGCCTGGAGATACTTCTTGCAGTAGCTTTTGCCCGTRACCTTAAGGAAAGCAGCAATGAATTGCCCGAGTCGAGCAGGGGACACTGGGGGCTGCAGGGAGAGGTGACTCTGCCTTGGGGCCCCCCATTTTGGATGCTGCTTCCCCCATTTCCATCCCACCCTTGCACTCCTGTTCCCAGCCATTCCTCCCTGGYGCGAGTTATGCTCCGAGAAAAAAAAATCTGCTTTACTCCCACAAACAGCAATGCCCCAAACCAGCATCACCAGTGCCCAATGTCATGGCCAAGGGAAAAAAAAAGCCCCAAAAAAGCTCATTTCCCTCCGGCAGCTTAATGCAAACACCCGGGGTCACTTCAGTCCACACCGGGCCTGACGGGGCTGTTTTGAAGTGGGTTTCTCCTCCGCGTCTCCCAGCAAAGCCCAGCATTTCCGAAGGGCTCCGGATTAGCGCTGCCTCCCTGCAGCCGCCTGGGAAACCCGCGCTCCCAGAGCCGGCCTCAATGGGACGCATTGATGCCTAAGCCTCTTGTGCTAAGGACTTTACTCCCAAGGTGGATTTTCCCCTGCTTCAAAGCCAGCAAGATAAACAGAGCTGCAAACTGCTCGCCGGGACAGCCGGGGACACGGAGGCTTCCCCCGTGGATCTGCAAGGGTGCCCAAGGATCTTACCTCCTTTTCCGAAGATTCCTCCTGGCCCGTGAAGCTCCGGAGCAGCAGGGCTGGGTACCAAAGGCTTAAGACCACGAGGCAGATGATGAGTGGGATGTAAGAGAGCGTGGAGTAGTACCTATATATCTGGGGAGAGGGAGAGTGGTTACAGCAGGACCACCCCTCCAAGGCGGCCACCTCTCCAAGCCTCCCTCCAGTGAGTCCTCAATGGCAAGAGGCAAAACGCCCCCTCCAAGACACAGGTCCCACCAACCACAGCCCCCTCGAGGACCACGGGGAGCACCAGGGAAGGGGACAGGTACCTTGGGCGACTGGGGACAATCCACCTTCTGCCAGATGTGGACCACGCAGTGGCACCAGGAGAGCAGACAACCTACGACGTAGCCGGCTCGGTGCCTGGTCGTGGCACAGGCGGCCAGCGGGTAATAGAAGGCCGGGTAGTAGAGCAGAGCCAGGATCTTCCAGTACTCTAGACCAGACGGGAGCAAGGAAAACGGAGCGGGGGAAAGAAGGAAGAGCCCTCAGGTCACATCAGGGTGGGCAAAGTAACGTGCATGGGYTGCGAGATGGAGGATGACACCCAAAGATGGACCCTGGTGGGCCAAGCCCATGAAAGGATGTGGCTTAAACCAGCCCCGTCCCCCTTCTTACCCCGGTGGTGCTGGGACGAGGCGGCGACGAGAGGCAGGGGGTCAGCGTCCAGCACCAGCACACACAGGGAGGAGAAGAGGATGCCGAAGACGGCGGCCACCAGCCCCCGCTCACCGTCCTCCTCCAGGAAACTGGCCGGGCTGCAAGAGAGGGCTCTGAGCCCCGCGCGCCGCGGCGGCCGGGCACACGGGCGCGCGGGGGAACCCGGGGTACCTCAGCAGTCCCGGCACGCCGCTCCAGCAGCCCGGGTAGAGGCGCTTGCGCTTCAGCAGCAGGGACAAGCCGAGGAGCACGGCCAGCTGCGGGAAGGGGGAAAMGGGGATGAGGGAGCAGCGGGGACGCCAAGGGGAAGGAGGTCCGGGCGAGGACCCAGGCTGGGGCTCTGCACCCATGTTTACATCTGCACGGACGGGGAGGTGTCACCCTGTCAGCCGGGTGGGTGMACCCGAGCGTGGGGATGCCCGGGGTGACACCCCACATCCTGGCTCGGGTACTTACGGAGACGGGCGCCATGCAGGTGTGATAGAGCCTGGGGGAAATGGTGGGGTCGCAGTCCGGGATGGCACTGGGAAACATGCTAGAAGACACAAAATAAACGGATGCTCACATTGAATCCCGAAGAGCCAAGGCGCGGGAAGGGGAGTTGTTCCTTTCGACTCGATGTCGTGGGAGGATTGGCTTGGATTTGCACGGCAAGATGAGAAGGGGCCAAAACACCCACTGTGGGAGTCGGTGATGACAGAAAACAGTTTTATGGGATAATTCTGCAGGCCCACACGCGGCCGGATCCTGCAGCGGGAGAGCGGACGGCTTCACCCTGAGCAGCACCAAGGCGTCCAGGAGCAGCCGGTGACCGCCAGGGACGGGGGTGGATGAAGTCACTGTCCTGGGACAGCGTTTATGGCGAGGTCAGGGTGATAACGGAGCGCAATCCCCCGGCTCCGTGCAGCCCCGCACGTAGGGGCTGCAGGCGGGCGCCCACGCTGGACTCCCCGGGAGAATGGAGAGTAAAGAAGCCACCTCTACCTTCTYGGTGGTACCAGCCTGCAAAATTGCCTCCCACGGGCACTTGCAACTCGCTTTGCTGCTTGCTTGCTCATCTGCACTGCATGCGGCAGAGCCTGGGGATCGTGGTGGCAACCARCGCACCCACTGCAGGCCACACGGGCCACCCACGGCTTGCTGCAAGGCCGGGAGGAGACCTYGGCCCTGCTCGTGTGCAAGGGTCCCATGGGTGGTGATGGCCATGGCGCTGGAGCCACTCACCAGGGAGGACTCCCCTGAGCTGGGCAAGATTTCCAGGGCTGTTTTGCAACCCAGAAGATTAAGGACCAGCAACAGCCCTTGGGCAATAGCTGGGCTGGTCCCCTCTGGGATCTGCTCCTGCCCTCACTCAGGATTAGGTATCAGCTGGTTAAAGGGGGTAGGAGCTACCCAGGACAGCTAAGTCAACAGAGGGACAATAGGCCCTTGCAGATGGGCCTGGAGGCACCTCTGTCCTAGCAATGGTGATGGTCTTGCAGGAACCACCTTCAAAAAATCCCCAGAGTCGCTGATACAGGGAGGAAGGAGCAGAGCAAGCAAAGGATTGTGCCAGATGGAGGATGTCCAGCCCAGTTCTGGGGGGAGAAAATCTGCTGAGGGTCTCGGAGCAGCCCCTGTCCCCAGCACCGCTGTCCCCAGATGTCCAGGCTGGCATCTCAGCCCYTCTCTGCGAGACCAGCACACGCTGCCAGCTCAGGCCCCAGCAGACATCCACAAGGACATGCAAGAGGGCAGGCGATTCCCCCAGCTCCCACACCGGACACGTGGGAGCCCAAACCATCTTCTCCGCATGGCAAACCCTTGGGGGGCTTCAGAGCCACCAAGAAGTGTTGCCCTTCCCCAAGGCAATGTGCCCCAGAGCGACAGCAAGGACACGGGTCCCCGTGATGGCTCCAGCTCCATTAACTCCCCAGGGACACTCACTCGTCCTGCGGCGCGGCCGGCTCCACGCTTTCATAGATGTACCAGTCCGAGACGAGGTCGGCGTCGGCAAAGTCCTGATCCGTCAGGGAGCTGCGCGCGCCCGCAGAGCCGTTGCCTTCCATGGGCTCCTCCTTTCCAGCCCCGCTGGGAAGAGAGGGACGGGAGGATCCAAACCCAAGTCGCCGTCGCCACGAAGGTCCCGGCCTTTATCTGAGCTCCAAGAGGGAAGGAAGGACTGAGCTCGCCCCCGGAACGAGCGCTCCGGATAAACCTCATTGGGCCCCGTCTCTCCCTCCCCGCCACGGGGTGCTGATAGAATCGGAGCCTTTGTTTGGGTTGTTTAACAGTATTTACGGGCAGCGCTCGGAAAGCAGTGCAAGGGTCAAGTTTTGGCTCGGCGGCAGGGCACGGGCTGTCCCGCAAAGCGCTAAGGAGATCGGGGAGGTGAGTGGACAAGGGGCTGGCCCGCAGCCCGGCTGGGAGATCCTTGTGCCCTGCGGACTGGACCAGTTTTCCCTGGAAACCTCTGCACGGATAATGGCTTTTTTCCTTCTTCTCCAGAGGGTGAAGATGGCCTGGGGGAGCATCTCCCATCCCCAGGGATGCATGGGCAGGACGGGGATGGAGCCGCGGGCTGCCACATCCCGCCCCCTCCGCCAGGACATCCTCCCGCCATGAGGGGTTTCCTTGGGATCGCTGCCTGCAGGGAAGCCCGCGCGTCTGTATCTCCCCGACAGGGAATGGGTGACTGAGCCGGCAGCTCTGCTCCAGACTGCTGTTTGCACAGCTGGCGCTGTGAGCCAGCTCGCCGCCTTCAAAGGCATTCCCGGGATCAGCGAGGGGCTCCAGCCCCSGATCCCCGCTCCAGCCAGGCCAGGGCAGCGCCGCCCGCCACCGCGGCCACACTGTCTCCCGTGCGCTCTGCTGCACATCACACCCGGGGCCAGCTTTGGGCCCCCTAACTGCTCAGCAGAGCCCAGGTTCAGGCTCCCATGGGGCAGGCAGGAGGCGTGAGGAATCACCTGGAAACCGGGTCCTGTTCACCCCTAGCAGCAGTTCCCGTTGGGCACCATCCTGGCCCGTCCCAGCCCAGGGTYCCCGCTCTACCTGCCGCTCCTGCTCACGGAGCGGAGGGGACACGGGCCCCGGTGCCACYCCGGAGCGACACGGCGCACGTGGCAGCGCCTGCAGCGCATCGACTTTCCAGATATCCCTTGGTTCCGCCTGCTCCGGCTCTGACCTCACCTCCCAAGAATGCGGCGCTCCGTTAAGAAAAGGTAGCCGGAGCCTCTCGACGATGCCAGCGTGCAGCAACGCACGTGCGGCCGCCGCAGCCGGGAAGCCCCTGTCCGAGCCGCAGGAGTGCCCAAGGGCGGCCCAAAGCTCCGCGCTCAAGCACCTGCGTTTGAAAGCTGGGGTTTGCATCACGGCTTGGGAAGGGTCCCGCACCCGCGTCCATCCGCGGAGCAACTCACCTCCAGCGGAGCGGGCGCCTTGGTGGCACCCGCGGAGCGGGAGCGYGGGCTGCAAGGAGAAGCGGCCGCTGTTTTAGCCTGGAGAAAAGCACCCGCTGAGGGTCGGCGGGGCATCGGGCAAGGCAGGGAAGAGTTAAGGCCTGGCGTGCCCGGGCAGGTGTGCCAAGCGCGCCGCGGGAGCGGGGCAGGACGCRGCCGGGAGCGCCGCCGCCGGCACGGCCCCTCCGCGCCTCCCCGAAACCCGATCGCTCTGCTCCTCGCCGTAACCTCTGCCGAAACAGGGCCGCGCCTTTGATCGCAGCGGCGTCGCCCGAGATTGATGGGCTCCATAAAGCGCCTCCATATTCTCCACTTCCCACCATCCATCACTCTCCGGGGAGCTGTTGCATCCCACCACGATGAATTAAACGGGGAGGGGAAGCGCCATGAGGGAATCCCCCCCCTTCCCTCCTCATATCCCGCTTAATGGTGATGCCTTGTGTACAGCTTTTAATAAAAATGATAAAGATCTCGTTTCACGATTGCTCGGGGAGTGCTTCGGCCGGGGGGGAAGAGTTGTTTAAGAGAGATCTCCTCTAATTCAATTGCCATTCGGGAGCCGCGGCGGAGGCTGCCGGCTCAGCTGGAGGCCGAGGCCTCCCCGGCGCGGCCACGGAGCTCATCCCGACCTCCAGCACGGCCCCATTTCCTGAAGGTGCCCTGGATCTTCCCAACCCCATGGGCGATGGCATCATCCTCATCGGGACATCATCCTCATCCTCAACCCCTGTGTTCCGGAGGGCAGGAACCCCCCTCTGCGGCCTCCCCATGTGCTTCCACTTGCGACGCCTGCAGTGCGGGTTCCAGAGGCTGCTCGAGGGCACTGGCTCCCGACGGAGCCGCCTGGCAGCCGGCTCCGGCAGCGCTGGCATCCCGCCGCCTGGATCCCAAGCGGATGCCCCCGGGATACGTCCCGCGCCGGCTGACCCCCGCCGCCCGGGGCAGAGCGCAGGGGGCCGCGGAGCCTCCGCGGCTCTTTGCAAAACTCCTTTGTCTGCAAAGCTGGCGCCGGCGGATATTAAACCCGACTCTGAGCTCACAAACAGCCGAGCCGGGGCGAGCGCACCTTTCGCGCGCTCCAAGTCGCACGCAAAGGCAGCCTGAGAGGGGAGGCAAGCGGGGAAGCGAGCAGGGTTATTTTTAGGCTTGCACCCCCTAGTCCCGGCTCAGACCCCCGGCCCCGCGCAGGCAGCTGCACCTGCTGCGCTTGGCGCCGCAAGGAGCCCTGCAAGCCGGGAACTCGTCCTCGCAACGTCCTAACGGGGGATCTGGGCCCCCCTCAGCAAGCCCCAGGCACCCATGGCCATTCCCTTGCAAAACCAGCAGGAAATTAGGAGAAACACGTATAAAATAAAGAAAGAAGGAGGGAGAAAAGGGAAGACGAGAAGTTACCTTCCTCCCCAGGTGCCTCCGCGCTTGCCGATGCTCTCGGGAGACGGCCGGCCTCCTCCGCGGGGGGTCTAGAGCATCCCCGCTCCGCAGCGCGTGCCGGGGGGGACCCGGCTGCTGCCGCTGCGGTCGGGGGAGCCCCGCGGCGCCGCGGCCCCGCGAGCCCAGAGGCAAAGTTCGGCGCGGCGGGAGCGCGGCCGCTCGCAAGGGCCGAGGAACTTTATCCCCTGCTTCGCGGGGAGGCCCTGGCTCGGGGCCACGCAGCGGGTTAGGAAGGGAAAAGCAGCCAACCCCGTGCTCCGCTCGCCCCACGCGCTGCCTCCAGCCAGCCCCCTTCTTCCCAGGTCTGTCCGGCTCCGGGGTTTGGAGCTGCTCCCTCCTCCTCCTCCTTTTCCACCTCTTCCTCCTCCCCTCGGGACGGCTCCGGCTCCCGGGAGACCCTGGAAAACTTTCTGGGAGAGGAGGTCCCATCGGCTACATCTTTTGGGAAGGCAGCTGGCGAGGAGGAAAATCCCGTGCCGACGGCACCTCTGCGGCCAGTCCCACGCTCGGCCCCGCAGACGCCGCTTCCTCTGTGCAATAATTAAAAAAGAATGCGTTACGCTTCTTTTTGATCCCTTCATAGCAAAAAAATGGAACATTCTGCAGCCCCACCGTGAAGGAGGTTGATAAGCAGCCTGGGAGCGTAGCYCCTGCAGAGTCATCCCGTTCCTAGAAATCCCCCCTTGCCAGGAGCGAGTGGGATTTCGGGAAGCCCCCCCCCAGGTCGTTGGCCTGGCCTGGCTCCTGTGGTCCCCGGTGCTGGCTCACCACGATGATCTMTTTCCAGAAACCCTCCGTCCGTTTCCTCACTGCCTAATCCACAGGAAATCCCCCCAAAATAAACTTGGGATTTTTTGTCGTGAGCTCAGGAACAGACCTCATAAAGGAGAGAYTGGGAGGATGAGAGATGCCTGGGAGGGACAGGTACCCTCGCGGCCTCCCATTCATCCGCTCCTAGGTCAGCACGGGACCACGAGCCAGCTCCTGGCAAAAGTGCGAGGAAATAATCCGGATAAACCCACGCACGTGATAGCGAGCGAGCAAATGAAGCAGAGAAAAATTAATCAACCTTCAAGATTCAGCTTAATTTTTAGCTAAAACCTCGTGGCACCATTGACCAGAGCGACCTGTGGATTTCTTTCTTTCACTCAAGATTGCTCCTAAATCAGCAGCGCTCAACCCCAGAGGTGTTTCCAGGAGGGATTAGGGAGAAAAGTAATCGTGGAGTCCTAGGGATGCATCCCACACCAAGCCCTCGGGTCCATCCTTCTGCCACAGCCATGTGGTCCCCCATSCACTTCCACAGGGAGCGATCACAGGTAAATCCCTGCTTCTTTTATCACGTCCATTCAGCCCATGCCCATTCGGAAAGCTGCTTTTGGAAAGATGAGGTGCTTTCCTCATATGGAGAAAGAGTTAAGGGCGTTGGGAACCCGGCTTTGGGCAGAATGCCGAGCCCCGGCCATGGAGACGAACTTTCCAACTTCATACTCGCTGCAGGGGCAGAAATCCAGCAGCCAAAGGGCACTTTTCACATCCAAGGAGCAGACAAAACCCTTGGGATTGGAGCTGCCAAAGGCAGCGCCTGCCCGGGAGCAGCCTCACTCCCAGGAGCTGTGTCTAGGTAGGGAACATGAGGCTGGGAAGAAATCCTTAGCGGAGACGAGACACTTGCGGGTAGCTCAGTCCCCATCCAGCTCCCGGGGGCGGTTTGTGTTGCAATTTTCATGCCTTTCCTTTATCTCCTGCCCTCCAGTGYGATGGAGCGAGCACCACAAGCCATGCGCCCTTGCAGAAAACCAGCGCAGGAGTTAACTGCGCCCGAGACCCGATTAGGCAAAAATTGCTCTTTGATGATCCCATCATTTGAGGCAGCTCTTTAATGTGTTTACAGAAAGGAAATTGGAGGGGAGAGCTACAGATACGCAGGCAGGATCGCTCCGCGTTTCTGCACGGCAGAGCTTGCCTGGTTTTGAAGCGAGCTGGGGACCCACTGGGTGTCCCCACCACCTGGGTGCCCTCCCTGTTTTACCACCRTGTTGAGGGATTTGGGTACCTTTCCTTCTGTACCTGGATCTGCCGGGATTGGAGTTGGAGAGGTCACAGCATCTCCCAAGGACGCAGCATCCAGTCTCTCCTGTGTGCTCCCCATCCTGGCCGGATAGGTCTCCCAAGGG